CAGCCGGGATAAAGCACCGCCATTTGCAGTTCCAGTGCTTTTTGAACGACAACGCTGGAAACACAATCGCAAGACCTCGTGCAAATCCGCAGATTCTTGATGCTTCTTTGGGACCTGGAGAAGCCTGCTGGTTTTTGTGTAAGCTGATGCTTTCCTTTCCATGCTTTCCCAGGTGCATGGGAATGGTCAAATTGCAATGACAATGTGTGATTGATGGACTTAAGACCAATGCTAGTTCTTCTATGCTTTCCATAGTGCAAATTAAAGGTGTTAGGCATTGGCGTTTCGCATGACTTCACTTCCCTTCCTCCTTATTAACCTCGCGTTTGGTGTTGGTCGCTGTTCAAAGTAAAGAGCACGATGTTGGAAGCTTGCATGCATGCCATCCCAGATTCTCTTGGGTAGTTCATACCACGCAGTCAGCCTGAGGCCGAGCCTTGGGAAGAACCCAGGTGAGGTGGAAAAGCCCGTCCTGGCGACCGTGCCTCCGACGGCCGGGAGGGGTGGAAGCTGAACCAAAATTGCGACAGGTCTTTTGCAAAAATGACCGCCCAAAAGCAGGGTTTTCAGGATGTGGCCCATGTGAAGAGCGTTGTTACAACCTTCCACTCCACCAGGCCCTTGTCAACCAGAAACTCTTGGAGATCTACCGCACAAAGATGATCCCGTCCTTGTGCCGCGGCTGCAGTTCGTTGTGCTTCGGCACATTAAGCAACGCCCAGGTGCGAACCAGGAGACGACGGCAACTATGGTTCCACAGCCGTTCAGGATGTGCCCGCAAACCCAGCCACAAAGACACTGTAGAGAGAGAGAGAGAGACGCTATGGACATGTTTGGAGAAGAGTAGCCGCATAGCTCAAGAGAAATGATGAATTGGCACGGGTTTGCAAAGACGAGAGGCATGTGGTTCAAACAATGGCTACTCGGATATACTATGGGCTGCGGGGGCCTCACTTGCCAAAGGCGTGTTTTATCACTGTTGCGGCCTGAAGCACGTTTAAGGTTTGTAGCTGAGTCCAAGTTCAGAAGTGAGAGGGAGAAGGCCACTGCCATGATCAAGGCCACCGGCAAGTTGAGTTTCGTTTGGTGGCATGTAGGGAAATTCAGGGCCAGTATGAGCTGTTGCTGTTACGGGAGGGGTGAAATCAATCTATCCGCAAGTGGTAGCCAGGCAAACGATACTGTCCTGGACTAAGCACCGTGAAGCGTTGATCACTTTTGTGGGGAAAGAAGTGCATCTCATGAACTTCTCATGGGGGTTGAATCGTGAGTTGGGACCCATAGTTTCGGAAAGTGACGCCAAGGACGGGCTTACCGCCTTCATCACGAAGCCGGATGTCGAAAAGAAGAATGTGCAGAGAGTTATCCTGAAGGCCTTGGTGCATCAGTAGTTGTCATGAGAATGATAGCTCTTTGTGCAAACCTGATGGTTGCCAGGATAATTTTATGACTTTCCTGCGGGTGTGACTGTTGCGGTAGGATGCGGTGGAGATATGTGGAACCATGAAAGATGATTGAAGCCTCCACTTGGGAGGCAAAGGCCTTCTCACAAAACATTGCCTTGGACAAGCCAGAGGAGTCGTGCGGATCCTGGCACTCAATCAGAAAGAATTATACAATATCCCCGCTGCTACTGGCCGTCTAAATAGAGCGACTCATTTAGTTTAAAGATGCTTAAAGTTATCTAAAGTTGCAACATGGTTGGCAGCGACGGATTTGCAAAAAAATTCAAGTTAGCCAGTTTAGATTTAATAAACAGTGTTCAAACTGTGGTTTTATTTTTGCACTTTTTTGATAAAATGACTTGTGCAGACCTTTGAAGTGTGAAAAATCATTTTAGATACTGTAACCATAACCAATGTTTGGAGAAAGGGGGGGGTACTCACTACTGTATCCGGTAGCAACGGGGATGGATTAATTGTCTTATTTATATGTATTCCCTGTTTGCCATCAATTCTTTTGGACAGATTGCTGATATGTAGCATTGGGGCATACCATTGTGCTACATCTAGGGCGTAGCCCATTAACGGCAACAGTCGATAAAAGATTATCAGTATTTTTGAGACAGGCCTTTACTAACCATCATCATCATCCACTGCTACTGGTAATGGGATACACCTACAGTGGTCGTTCATGGTCATGAACGCATGATGGCCGAGGGGCCCGGCTATGTACAAGGTGAACCCAGAGTTCATAGGCCTGCGCTTCTGGGACTTGCGGAAAAGCGTTGTGTTTGTTCCAGTTTGCGGGCACATTCTAGTTCTAGTTGAGGGCTCGGTTTCAAAAATGAACTGCTTGCTGCACTCCCTCTCCCAGGTTCCAGAATGTTCTGCGACAAAAGGCGCCACCACAAACACCATGGTGCAGGTACTCTTTTTGAAGAGTACATCATGCCTTTGACCAAAGAGGCAGGAGGAATGCGCCTTCGGGCACTGGTTGCTCCAGCCCTTAATGGTGCCACAAATGATATAGCAGTGATTGGCTCGTTCTTCAGCTGCAACGTTGGCTGTGGGACCGCCCAAGCATTGCGCCAGAAGTTTGCACCGAAAGGTCGAAGTAGCATATCTTCTAGCGCGCCTGGATGAGTCGCTTGGAGCGTTTAGTGTTTGGGATTTGGGACTGTAAGCGAGGCCAATCTTTCGTGTTAGTATACTTAGACAACCGTTCAAGAGTGCATTAGGACAATTAGAGTCTTTGGAGATTCCCACAATTGACTGTCGTTGGCTCGTAGCAGCACTTGTACAAACATCAAGAGGAGTAAGATGAAGGAACGCAAGAATCGAAATTGTTTCAAAGCCTTTCCAACACCTCATCCAGCAGTTGCTTCCCTCGACCAAGGCCGCAGAGAGAGGTCTCTGCGCAGGCAGGACAGTGGGATCGATTGATGTACCCAAGGCGGTCGACAGGTATGGCTGTTGGTCAGTATTCACTTCCTTATCAAGCTGTGCTGCTCAACAAGTTAGCAGGATGAGACCGACGTGGACTGGGTCAACCCTGCCAGAAAGTGAGCCAAGTGAAATCCTTTTCCGAAACAGGAAGGCAAATCAGCTCAATGCCACTCCCGGTACCCACATAATACTCTTTGTCTTACGCTGTACTCGGCGCACTTTTCAGTTAAATGCTTCGCACCTTGTCGCCGAAGCCTTCAGGAACGGTGAAACATAGGTGACAGGTGCTTGCAGCATTGCAAAGACAATGCACAAGTACAATCCCTGGTTCTGTTTCCTCTCGCAATTCGCCGAAGGAAGCTTGTGTTCATTTCCTGGCGATGTGGGGGACAGTTGGGGACAAATCGCTTCTCCTAAGCCGAAGCTACATGCTTCAGCAGCTTGTCTTAAAGACTCAGGACATTGTTCAAAAGACAATGCCATAGCAGTTGATGGTGATCAGGAACCCCGGGTGGCACAACAGGATCACAGCACCACTGAGCTCTTAAGTGAATGCTCAAGTCAAGTTAACTTTCCAAAGCTTACTAGTAACAAGGACGCTACTAGGTGAAGGCCATCGCTATTGGGTTGGAGGCCATTACTACATAATCCTATTACTACGAATAGCTGCAAGCTACTAATAACATTGAGCGGCAAAATCAACAAACCCGTCAAGAAGCTCACTCACTGTCACTGCGCGCCTCAGTGTGCTGCCCAAGGGGGCCGCAAAGTGAACCATGAGCATCCATGAACCGCACGAAGTTGTTCAAGCACGGAGCAACGGCATGCAATGGCTATGAGATTCAAAAGTGAACCAAGCTGGAATAGGCAAGCGAAAAGATAAAGGCCATCAGCACAAACATCAAAATCTCTCACGCAGTCTTTTTTGGTTTGCAAAGCCCCTCATGGAAGTGGCTGATTGGACGGTTCTGCACGACGAGGGGCAGAGGAGAGGTTATTATCCGGGCACTTCTTGTACTGGAATATTGCCGAAGTCCACGACATTTTGCAGCTGAGCTGAAGGGGAGATTGCCTTCAAGAGTGGTTGCCACGGTTGCCATTCCCGAACAGCACCAACCACAACCACTGTGCTTTAATGACTTTAATGTGCCAACACTCTGTCGTTAGTATTCTGCACATTCCCGTCAATATCATCATCACTATATACTATATATTTTTTTTTGCAGTAGTTCTTTGGAGTAAATGCAAGAGTTTGTCTCGGCTTCTCAGCTCAGAAAAGCTAGAAAACACATCTAAGAGGCGTTGGAGATCCAGAGACTGTTTTGTGCATGTTGATCAGAGCACAAAGTTACGGGTCAAAGTCCACTGATTTGGGTAAGGCATCGACACTTGCCTCAGCTTGTATGTGGACAACTCCACGCTGGACCGCTGTCACAATGAATGCGACTGCAAAAGATGGCAGGGAGGCCCATAGTGGAGCTGGAACCTATCTCAACACGGACAAATATGTTTAGGTTTGTGATCCGGTGTTGTGTCAATGATGTGAAGCCCCTTCGGGTTTAAGCTGCGCAAAACGTCACTGAAAGAGATGCTCCCTAGTGGATAGTAGGAAGGCAGGGAGGGAGGCCCCAACCCTACTGGAGGGCTGCAGGCAGGGTCTTGCCGAGGCATAGGGAGTCGGTAGATCTCACCATCGGCAGCTTGGGTGGAGCCGCTTTATGTGCTTGCACCTCGACTGCGGTTTAAAGGATCATGTCAGACACAGCATTGCATTCGGCAGTGGACCTGGCATCTCAAAGTGGTTGAACCCCTCAACCACGTTCAATATTATCAGCATGTTATGTTTTTACATGTTTTTACACTAACTGTATGAACCTATACATATCATATGGTGATTTGTGAGTCTGGATTTATTGATGCTGATTTGTCAGTCTCAGGTTTCTTGGTGCTATGCTTGGACATGTGCTCGTCACAAAGTCCTCGCACTCCATCACAGCGTGCTTGCTTGAAGTGGTCAAACATTTGCCTTCTGTTTTACAGCAACTTGGACTTGAGCCGCAACATTCCTAGCAGGCCAAAGGAAACTTCTTAGCTGCGCATGCTAGCTCAGGTATGTACTTTGTAGCTTATGCGTTGGCTGATGCTTACCAACCACTCTGGGACGGTCCGTGTGAGCTGCAACATATTTTCACTGGTGAGATGTGTGAGAACGATGACTCGCCTTTTTGCTTCTTGAGACTTGGAGTGGTATACATCCCGGGGGGGCATGGGCCAAGACATGCCAAGACATTGTCACTTTTCCCGTAGTAATGCGTTCAAGTCAACTGCAAACCACAAAGTTCCACATCGGTGTTTCATGATGACTGTGGAAGCCCAGTTCATTTTTAGCAATTAGCAAGGCCCTTAGACCGAGCTGCCCAGTGCAAGTAGCATGAAGTAGCAAAAAGATCTAGATTCTAGATGAAAAGCCGTGCAGAAGCAGCACGCTGCCAGACAGACTTTGCACAGAAAGAGAAGTAGGACGGGAATCTTTCAGAAGTTTTGAGTGGATATTGATTGCCTTTTACTCAGGAATTGCTGCGTTTTTGCTGTCCCATGGCTGGAGTTCTTCGGCTATGGGGCCTATCTTTGGAACGTGTTTTGGCCTCTCAGCAGCAGGTTCCCCAAACAAGATGAGGGATGAATCCCTGCTAAAAAGGGAAAATAGATGGAATTAGTGCACGAGCACTGTGTCATTCAGGCCGAGTACTCTAGCGTATCGGGTCGATCAGCCAAGTGTTGGTGCTTTGTTCGATCGACGGGTTGGAAGGACACAGGCCTTCGACGTTCCTGAGGATATTGGACCTGGGCCGCTTCACTTTGCTGCCATTGGCCCCCGAACTAGTGGCAGCATTCAGCACACTCCATGTGGTTCCTTTTTGAGGGCAGATATACAGACGAACTTCTTCAGATTTGACAATTGAGGAATGTGAAATGCTGCACTGCAAAGTGTCTAAAGCATCTAAAGCAGTGGAGCTGTCCAGTTTGAGGGCTTCCATGCTAGCTTGATGCGCTTCAGGTCTCAACCAGTCAGATTGTCACGAGAGTGGTGTGTGGCGTCCATCTGAGGAAAAGGTGCTTGGTGTGCACTTGATGTGCTTCTACCACATCTTCACTTGGGTTTGTGCTGGGCTTATTGCCTTTGACCCTAACGGATCTCGCTTGGTGACAGACACCTGCAGGGAGGTCCCTTGGTGCAATGGGTGAGGCCAGAAGGCATGCATGCTGTTTTACAATATTTGGAGGTGAAAGGCCGAAAGGCTGGCATCAATCACCCACCCACAATCCTTGTGAGATCAGCCATTGAGCCACACGTGGACCTTTACTCTCCAAGTCTCCGAAGATCAATGACTCATTTGGCCACTCTTCATATTGCACTCCCAAAAATTACACCGGTGAAAACTAGCATTTTCGCAAAAAAAATGGGGTCTAGTTTCGGAGCGGACACCGTTGAGACTAACCTAGACCAAATTCAGATGTGCCATGGTGGGCCCTACGGGTACTTGGCATGGTCCATGTTAGCCTCCACC